TTTGAGGAAAATGAAAGTGCATGACTATTCTGTTGTAGAACAGTTGAGGAAAACGCCCTCTCAAATCTCATTACTCTCGTTGCTAATCCATTCAGATGAGCACCTCAGTGACTGATGAAAATCCTGAATGAGGCCCATGTTCCTGACAAGATCTCGGTAAACCATCTGGAAAAGATAGACAACAAGATTTTTGAAGTAAACAGAGTCACTTTTTCCGATGAGGAATTGCCGGTAGAGGGTACTGAGCATAACAAAGTCCTTTACCTGACAGTGAAATGCGAGGACGCTGTGGTTACCCGGGTATTGGTTGACAATGGTTCAAGTGCGAACATCTGTCCTCTCTCCACTCTAAGCAAGCTGAAAGTAGAAGAGGAGAGGATCCATAAGAACAGTATCTATGTGCGGGGATTTGACGGCGGAGGCAAAGACTCAGTCGGGGACATAATGTTGGAGCTGACCATAGGTCCGGTAGAATTCACAATGGAATTCCAAGTGCTGGATATAGCTATTTCCTACAATTTGCTATTAGGGCAACCGTGGATTCACGCCGCTAAAGCAGTGCCATCAACACTGCATCAGATGGTTAAGTTTAATTGGGACAGACAGGAAATAGTGGTGCACGGCGAAGATAATTTGTGCGCTCACAACAACACCTTTGTGCCATTCATTGAAGTGGAAGATGACAAGGGACCATGAGTCTACCAAATTTCTGACGCAATGTCAGTCGAGAAAGTTCTAGAGGGGAAATGTATCCCGAATCCAAAGATAAACGCTGCATCAGTCATGGTAGCATATGAAATGTTGGAAAATGGTTTTGTACCAGGAAAGGGTTTGGGATCAGCGTTGCAAGGCTTCATACAGCCCGTGTCTCTTCCTGAAAACTTGGGAACATTTGGTCTAGGATTCAAGCCCACAGCCGCAAATATAAAAAGAGCCAGGAAATTGAAACAGAGGGCATGGGTCCTTCCAAAGCCGGTCCCACGTCTTTCCAGATCATTTGTCAAGTACGGTACGAGGAGTCTCCTAGTGACAGCAATTCCCAGTTCTATGATTAATCCTGACAAGGAGTTGATTGGAAGATTTGAGAAGTTGTTCGATAGTGTGAACATGGTGGAAGTTGGAGAGGGTTCTAGCAATGCGGAAGTGCAATTTGTCGGGCCAAAAACAAAGCTTAATAATTGGAAGGCTACTCCTCTCCCTACTCGGAAGGAGTCTTGGTAGTTCGCTTTGATTTTTCTTTAAGTTTGTACGGATTATTCCAGGGTTGTAATCCAGATTTCATTTTTTTCAGTCTGTTTGAGTGTGCAAACCTTGTTATCTTTTATCATTCAATGAAATACAATTTCCCTTTCTTCATCATTCCTGATGGTTTTTCTTTTGTTTTATTTTCCTTTCTATACAGTTCTTTTTACACTGGTTCTAATGACATGACATGCATATGGAATCCTCAGAGCAGTCTTAAAAATGAATCTGACTCCGAAATATTAGTTCAAGAAGTAGATTGTGATTACGAATCAGAATACGAGGATGAGGATGAAGCCTTCGAACAGATTAGTAAGGAGTTAATTCACTTCGAAGAAAAACCCAAACCCAACCTGAATAACACAGAAGCCGTCAATTTAGGGGACACAGACAATGTCCGAGAGACTAAAATAAGTGTCCACCTTGAGCCAAAAATTCGGGAGGAGTTAATCAAAGCACTTATCGAATACAAAAATGTTTTTGCATGGTCATATGACGACATGCCGGGTTTAAGCAGTAATTTAGTAGTCCACAAATTGCCGACAGGAAGACTTGCAAAAAGGCAGATTTTGCTCACAGAGTTTGACATAATCTATGTGACTCGGACTGCGATGAAAGCCCAAGCATTGGCCGACCATTTGGCCGAGAACCTGGTCGATGAAGAGTTTGCGCCACTGAGGACTTATTTTTCTGATGAAGAGGTGATGCATATTGATTAACCAGAACAGGACGAAAAACCAGGTTGGAAACTTTTCTTTGATGGGGCTGCTAACATGAAAGGAGTCGGAATAGGAGCTGTGCTTATTTCTGAAACAGGGCATCACTATCCTGTTACAGCTCAGCTGCAGTTTTATTGCACCAACAATATGGCTGAATACGAGGCATGCATTTTGGGTTTGAGGCTAGTTGCAGACATGAATGTTCGGGAAGTTTTGGGAGACTCGGATCTTCTGGTGCACTAAATTCAAGGAGAATGGGAAACGCGAGATCTGAAGCTCATACCACACTGACAATGCTTGCATGATCTTTGTCAACGGTTTAGATCAGTGGAGTTCAGGCATATTCCAAGGGTCCATAATGAGGTCGCCGATGTTTTGGCTACCCTAGCGTCAATGCTGCACCATCCAGACAAAGCCTATGTCGATCCTTTGGACATTCAAGTACGAGATCAACATGCTTACTGCAACATGATTGAAGAAGAATTTGATGGTGAACCGTGGTTCCATGATATCAAGGAATACATCAGAATGGGAATATACCCAGTGGAAGCCACGGGGGATCAAAAGAGAACAATTAGACGGTTGGCAAGCGGGTTTTTCTTGACTGGAGGAGTTTTGTACAAAAAAACACCAGACCTGGGATTGTTAAGATGCATAGATGCTAGACAAGCTACGTCTGTCATGTCCGAAGTACAATCAGGATTCTGCGAACTACATATGAGCGGATATGTGTTGGCAAAGAAAATTCTCCGAGCAGGTTATTATTGGCTCACCATGGAGCGATATTGTATTAGTTTTATGCGCAAATGTCATCAGTGCCAGATACACGGAGATATGATTCATTCTCCGCCACCGGAATTGCACATAATGTCAGCGCCATGGCCCTTTATCGCTTGGGGCATGGATATCATTGGACCAATTGAGCCAACAACATCCAACGGGCATAGGTTCATTCTGGTAGCCATTGATTATTTTACCAAATGGGTTGAGGTCAAAACTTTCAAGTCCGTGACCAAGAAAGCAGTGGTTGATTCACTCAAATATCATCTGTCGATTTGGAATCCCGAAGGTGATTATCACAGATAACGGTGCTAATCTTAACAGCAATTTGATGAAATATGTATGTCAACAGTTTAAGATTACACACCGCAATTCTACCCCATATCGTCCCAAGGCGAATTGAGCAGTTGAGGCAGCCAACAAAAACATAAAGAAGATACTTCGGAAAATGGTAGAAGGTTCTAGGCAGTGGCATGAAAAATTACCATTTGTGTTGCTGGGTTATCGCACTACTGTCCGTACTTCAGTAGGGGCAACTCCTTATTTGTTGGTATATGGAACTGAAGCCGTAATACATGCGTAAGTTGACTCCCGTCCCTTTGAATTGTCGCTGAGGCTGAGATTGATGATGATGAGTGGGTCAAAACCCGTCGGAGCAGTTGAACTTGATTGATGAAAAACGATTAGCAGCTGCGTGTCATGGCCAGTTATATCAGAAGAGAATGGCAAGAGCATACAACAAAAAGGTACGTCCCCGGAAGTTTGAGGTGGGCCAGCAAGTGCTGAAACGCATCCTTCCACATCAGGTTGAGGCAAAAGGCGAGTTCGCCCCGAATTGGCAAGGGCCATTAATTGTAACCAGAGTATTGTCCAATGGTGCTTTATGTTTAACAGATATCGAAGGAAAATGCATAGACATGACTGTCAATTCTGATGCAGTAAAAAGATATTATGTATGATTTCTTTGGTATAATTGTTGATTGTTTGTATTTGGCATTATTTTGAAGATTGAAATGACGAAGGCAATTTGTTCTACTATCTAAACACTTTACCCTTTGTTCCCCTTTAGCCCAAGAAGCCCTCACAGACGGTAATGATGATCCGTTCCAGCAAAACTAGCTCAAAGGAAAAAGTAACCGGTGGGAAATCGGTGGCCTAGTTGAGAGGGGTAGATGATAAGCCAGCTGTGGTAGCCGAGAGAGGGTCGTCAAGCATTGTTGCAGTGAAACCAGAGAAAGCTAAAGTGGTAGTGCCAGGGGTTGCAAGTAAACCTGTTGTGGTCGTGAAGGGTGCTTGCACAGAGCCTGTTATTATAAAACCAGTAACTCAGCTTCCAGTAATCAACAGCAAGGTTGTTCCTTGGAATTATGAACGGGTGACGGTGATTTACAAGGGGAAAGAAGTCAAAGAAGAAGTTTGTGAAGCGCAAGGTTTGACTCGCTCAGGAAGGTGTTTTACTCCCGAGGAGTTAAGAAGAGCTAAAGATAATTCAACGCCGGTAAAGAAAGCTGTAACTAAAGAAGAGGCAGAGGAATTTTTGAGGAAAATGAAAGTGCATGACTATTCTGTTGTAGAACAGTTGAGGAAAACGCCCGCTCAGATCTCATTACTCTCGTTGCTAATCCATTCAGATGAGCACCATCAGTCACTGATGAAAATCCTGAATGAGGCCCATGTTCCCGACAAGATCTCGGTAAACCATCTAGAAATGATAGCCAACAAGATTTTCAAAGTAAATAGAGTCACTTTTTCCGATGACGAATTGCCGGTAGAGGGTACTGAGCATAACAAAGCCCTTTACCTGATAGTGAAATGCGAGGACGCCGTGGTTACCCGGGTATTGGTTGACAATGGTTCAAGTGCGAACATCTGTCCTCTCTCCACTCTAAGAAAGCTGAAAGTAGAAGAGGAGAGGATCCATAAGAACTATATCTATGTGCGGGGATTTGACGGCGGAGGCAAAGACTCAGTCGGGGACATAATGTTGGAGCTGACCATAGGTCCGGTAGAATTCACAATGGAATTCCAAGTGCTGGATATAGCTATTTCCTATAATTTGCTATTAGGGCAACCATGGATTCACGCCGCTAAAGCAGTGCCATCAACACTCCATCAGATGGTCAAGTTTGAATGGGACAGATAGGAAATAGTGGTGCACGACGAAGATAATTTGTATGCTCACAACAACACCATTGTGCCATTCATTGAAGTGGAAGATAACAAGGGACCATGGGTCTACCAAGTTTCTGACGCAATGTCAGTCGAGAATGTTCTAGAGGGGAAATGTATCCCGAATCCAAAGATAAATGCTACATCAGTCATGGTAGCGTATGAAATGTTGAAAAATGGTTTTGTACCAGGAAAGGGTTTGGGATCAGTGTTACAAGGCATCATACAGCCCGTGTCTCTTCCTGAAAACTTGGGAACATTTGGTCTAGGATTCAAGACCACAGCCGCAGATATAAAAAGAGCCAGGAAATTGAAACAGAGGGCATGGGTCCTTCCAAATCCGGTCCCACATCTTTCCAGATCATTTGTCAAGTCCGGTATGAGGAGTCGCCTAGTGACAGCAATTCCCAGTTCTATGATTAATCCTAACAAGGAGTTGATTGGAATATTTGAGAAGTTGTTCGATAGTGTGAACATGGTGGAAGTTGGAGAGGGTTCTATCAATGCGGAAGTGCAATTTGTCGGGCCAAAAAACAAAGCTTAATAATTGGAAGGCTACTCCTCTCCCTACTCGGAAGGAGTCTTGGTAGTTCGCTTTGATTTTCCTTTAAGTTTGTACGGATTATTCCAGGGCTGTAATCCAGATTTCATTTTTTTCAGTCTGTTTGAGTGTGCAAACCTTGTTATCTTTTATCATTCAATGAAATACAATTTCCCTTTCTTCATCATTCCTGATGGTTTTTATTTTGTTTTGTTTTCCTTTCTATACAATTCTTTTACACTAGTTCTAATGACATGACATGCATAAGGAATCCTCAGAGCAGTCTTACAAATGAATCTGACTCCGAAATATTAGTTCAAGAAGTATATTGTGATTACGAATCAGAATACGAGGATGAGGATGAAGCCTTCGAACAGATTAGTAAGGAGTTAATTCACTTCGAAGAAAAACCCAAACCCAACCTGAATGACACAGAAGCCGTCAATTTAGGGGACACAGACAATGTCCGAGAGACTAAAATAAGTGTCCACCTCGAGCCAAAAATCCAGGAGGAGTTAATCATAGCACTTATTGAGTACAAAGATGTTTTTGCATGGTCATATGACGACATGCCGGGTTTAAGCACTGATTTAGTAGTCCACAAATTGACCACTGATCCAGCATTCCCTCCCGTCAAGCAAAAGTTGAGGAAATTCAAAACTGATATGAGTGTGAAGATTAAAGAAGAAGTTACCAAACAGTTAGATGCAAAGGTTATCCGGGTCACCCGATATCCTGTTTGGTTGGCTAATGTCGTTCCTGTGCCGAAGAAGGATGGCAAGATCAGAGTATGCATCGATTATCGCAATCTCAACAAAGCAAGTTCGAAGGATAACTTCCCACTACCCAATATCCACATTCTGATTGATAATTGTGCCAAGCGCGAGATTGGATCTTTTGTGGATTGTTATGCCGGGTATCATCAGATTTTAATGGACGAAGAAGATACAGAAAAGACAGCCTTCATCACGCCATGGGGAACTTATTGCTACCGAGTAATGCCATTTGGGTTGAAGAATGCTGGGGCAACTTATATGAGAGAAATGACTACTGTGTTTCATGATATGATACACAAGGAGATTGAGGTATATGTAGATGATGTGATAATAAAATCAAAACATCAGGCCGACCACGTCGAGGATTTGAGGAAATTCTTCCAGAGGGTTCGCAAGTACAACCTCAAGCTTAACCCCGCCAAGTGTGCATTTGGTGGTCCATCCGGAAAACTGTTAGGATTCATAGTCAGTCGGCGAGGCATCGAGTTGGACCCATCAAAGATCAAAGCCATACAAGAATTGCCCCCTCCGGGGAACAAGACTGAAGTGATGAGTCTGTTTGGAAGGATGAACTACATCAGCAGGTTTATTGCTCAGCTCACGACAACTTGTGAGCCTATAATCAAGTTGTTGAAGAAGGACGCTGCGATCAAGTGGACTGATGAGTGTCAAGAAGCATTTGATAAGATAAAGGGTTACTTGACAAACCCACCTGTGCTGGTTCCGCCAGAACCAGGGAGACCTTTGATTCTTTACTTGACAGTCTTGGAAAATTCATTTAGTTGTGTACTGGGGTAGCATGATATCACCGGTAGGAAAGAACAAGCCATCTATTATCTTAGCAAGAAGTTCACAGCTTATGAGGTTAAGCACACTCACCTGGAAAGGACATGTTGTGCCCTAACTTGGGTGGCACAGAAATTGAAACATTACTTGTCACCCTACACTACCTACCTCATTTCGCGTTTGGATCCGTTGAAGTATATCTTTCAAAATCCTATGCCGATAGGAAGATTTGCAAAATGGTAGATTTTGCTCACAGAGTTTGACATAATCTATGTGACTCGGACTGCGATGAAAGCCTAAGCATTGGCCGATCATTTGGCCGAGAACGTGGTCGATGAAGAGTATGCGCCACTGAGGACTTATTTTTCTAATGAAGAGGTGATGCATATTGATGAACCAGAACAGGACAAAAAACCAGGTTGGAAACTTTTCTTTGATGGGGCTGCTAACATGAAAGGAGTCGGAATAGGAGCTGTGCTTATTTCTGAAATAGGGCATCACTATCCTGTTACGGCTCAACTGCAGTTTTATTGCACAAACAATATGGCTGAATACGAGGCATGCATTTTGGGTTTGAGGCTAGCTGCAGAAATGAATGTTCGGGAAGTTCTGGTCTTGGGAAACTCAGATCTTCTGGTGCACCAAATTCAAGGAGAATGGGAAATGCGAGATATGAAGCTCATACCATACTGACAATGCTTGTATGATCTTTGTCAACGATTTAGATTAGTGGAGTTCAGACATATTCCAAGGGTCCATAATGAGGTCGCCGATGCTTTGGCTACCCTAGCGTCAATGCTGCACCATCCGGATAAAGCCTATGTCGATCCTTTGCACATTCAAGTACGAGATCAGCATGCTTACTGCAACATGATTGAAGAAGAATTTGATGGCGAACCGTGGTTCCATGATATCACGGAATACATCAGAATGGGAATATACCCAGTGCAAGCCACGGGGGATCAAAAGAGAACAATTCGACGGTTGGCAAGTGGGTTTTTCTTGAGTGGAGGAGTTTTGTACAAAAGAACACCAGACCTGGGATTGTTAAGATGCATAGATGCTAGACAAGCTACGTTTGTCATGTCCGAAGTACATTCAGGAGTCTGCGGACCACATATGAGCGGATATGTGTTGGCAAAGAAAATTCTCCGAGCAGGTTATTATTGGCTCACCATGGAGCGAGATTGTATTAGTTTTGTGCGCAAATGTCATCAGTGCCAGATACACGGAGATTTGATTCATTCTCCGCCATCGGAATTACACACAATGTCAGTGCCATGGCCCTTCGTCGCTTGGGGCATGGATATCATTGGACCAATTGAGCCAGCAACATCCAACGGGCATAGGTTCATTCTGGTAGCCATTGATTATTTCACCAAATGGGTTGAGGCCAAAACTTTCAAGTCCGTGACCAAGAAAGCAGTGGTCGATTCACTCAATATCATCTGTCGATTTGGAATCCCGAAGGTGATTATCACAGATAACGGTGCTAATCTTAACAGCAATTTGATGAAAGATGTATGTCAACAGTTTAAGATTACACACCGCAATTCTACCACATATCGTCCCAAGGCGAATGGAGCAGTTGAGGCAGCCAACAAAAACATAAAGAAGATACTTCAGAAAATGGTAGAATGTTCTAGGCAGTGGCATGGAAAATTACCATTTGCGTTGCTGGGTTATCGCACTACTGTCCGTACTTCAGTAGGGGCAACTCCTTATTTGTTTGTATATGGAACTGAAGCCGTAATACCTGCGGAAGTTGACTCCCGTCCCTTTGAATTGTCGCTGAGGCTGAGATTGATGATGATGAGTGGGTCAAAACCCGTCTGGAGCAGTTGAACTTGATTGATGAAAAACGATTGGCAGCTGTGTGTCATGGCCAGTTATATCAGAAGAGAATGGCAAGAGCATACAACAAAAAGGTACGTCCCCGGAAGTTTGAGGTGGGCCAGCAAGTGCTGAAATGCATCCTTCCACATCAGGTTGAGGCAAAAGGCAAGTTCGCCCCGAATTGGCAAGGGCCATTAATTGTAACCAGAGTATTGTCCAATGGTGCTTTATGTTTAACAGATATCGAAGGAAAATGCATAGACATGGCTGTCAATTCTGATGCAGTAAAAAGATATTATGTATGATTTCTTTGGTATAATTGTTGATTGTTTGTATTTGGCATTATTTCGAAGATTGAAATGACGAAGGCAATTTGTTCTACTATCTAAACACTTTAGCCTTTGTTCCCCTTTTTGAGCCTTATTTATTTCATACCCCTCTTTTGGAATCAATAACGAAAAGAGAGAAAAAGAAAGAAAAAGAGAAAAGAAAAGAAGTGAAAAATATAACAACAAGGAAATTCAGGTGTGAACTACGTTTGACCTGATCCCTGTTAAGGGTACGTAGGCAGTTTTACGGCTCGGTCATAGTAAAATAAAAATCAAAAGATTCCCAAGTAAGAAACTGGGGCAGAGGTTGTATTTGTAATAAGAAATGTGATTCCAAAAGTTGTAATTTTAAACCCATGTCAAATTATTTTGAGCCTTTGATACCCTTTCTTTCTAATCCCATCCAAAAGCCCACACTACGGTCCAAAGAAAGACCTTCTGATCAGTTTTTCGAGAGATAACGAGTCGAGCAAACAGAAGTAATTCATATCAGGGTAATACTCCGGTCCAAGCAGGGAAATTAATAAAAATGAGATAGTCTTATTGGTGAAAAGCTTCACATGCACCATAAGGCGACAGAAGTTGAGAGAAATAAAATGAGAGAGTCTTATCGGTGAAAACCTTCACAGGCACCATAAGGTGACGGGAGTTGAGAGAAACGAGAGAGTCTTATTAGTGAAAACCCCTCGAAGGGCAGTATAAGGCGACAAGGAATTAAAAGGGGGCAAACGAGATAAGCTTGATGGAAAGGATCCGTCGAGACATCAAGCAGAATAAAGATGTTGTTTCGACAAAAGAAGATGGGTTGCGGGACCTCTGAAATGAAAATAAGGACATCAGAAAGATTGATTGATGTAAATAGACTGGGTTGATTGATCTAAAAATGCATGACATGACCATTGGGATCGGTTATACCATTCAGATAAGTCATTTTCTCTTCAAACAATCATTCAGAAAGATTTTTCTTGTTCTATCTTTCGAAGTCATCATTTTCCATTTCTTTTTGATCAATAGTAGTTTGTTTTTAAGAAGGATTTTCAGAGCTAACTACCAGTTGCCAACACGGTGCAAGGTAAATGGGGATAAGACATGCGAGGATAATGTGATGGGACGAGAAAGACGTCGTTGTAAGACCAGATGATGGATTGGTCTAAGATTTCAGGACAGTGTGGAGCAAAGGTGGAAAACAACGATTGAGAAGTTGGTGAATACAGAATCATCAAGAAGGTCAGAAGTTATCGGCCAAGTTTCAAGATGGTCGAACAACGCAGAGCGTGGAAAAGAGCGAAAGGGAAAACCGTCCCCAGTAGGAGCATCCCCACGTTTTAAACTAACAAATTCACTTTGATTTTAAGCAAGGACAGGAAATGTTATTGATGACAGAAAGACATGCCACAAGAAAGATTGTCAAACTGGGGCAGAAAATTTTCTTCCATTTTGAAAATTTTCTGGAAGTCAGGTACCCACTTGGGGAAGAAGGAAGATAACACAAGTTTGGTGAAAAGCGGTATACCCAGCAGTTTTCGGAAGAAGGCAAAGCAAGTTTTAAAGAAAGCAATTTCAGGAGGAAGATACCACAAGTCTTAAGGGAAGTAGTTCCAAAGGAAGGAAAACACCAGCTTTAAGGGAAGTAGTCTTTGAAGGAGGAAAATAACATATTTTTGAATGAAACACCGGTGTTATCCCCAGCATTTTTCAGAGGAATGAAACACCAGTTTTGAGGGAAGCAGTTCCGAAAGAAGATAATTCAAGTTAGAAGGAAAATAGTTCAGGAGACAGGAGGGAACAACGGCAATAGAACGCATTTTTAAGAAGTTGTTGAAGTTAGGAGCTCGCCTGGAGGATAGAGGTATTATATTTTTAAGAAGTTGTTGAAGTCAGGAGCCCTCCTGGAGAATGAAGGTGCTATATTTTTAAGAAGTTGTTGAAGTCAGGAGCCCTCCTGGAGAATGGAGGTGTTATATTTTTAAGTTGTTGACGAAGTCAGGAGCCCGCNATATGAGTCAAGACAAAAAGAAAGAAACATCAGAGGAAACACCATTCACCAAGACGTCAAAGCAACAAGAGACACAAGAGCACAGCTGAAGATCTAGATAAGATTTTGTAATTCATAGACTATAGTTTAGTCTAGATTCTTGTTTTCTTTTAGCATGGTGTAATAAGGAGGTTAGTAAGTAGCGGCAGCAGCAGAAACAACAGTAACAGTAAAACCACAGCTCCGTGGTAGTCCCATCTACCAAAACTTCCCGAACTACATTGACCTGATTCCCTTTTAGCCAGGGATATGTAGGAAACCTTTGAAGCAGAGGTTCGGTCAAATCTTTCAAAAATGCTTCACACGGAGTAGCCGAACGGGCAAAAATCGCTCGTATCCGCTCACTTTATCTTTGCACAAAAACTCTTCATTTTTCCGGACAAAGAGGGGCAGCTGTGAGCACGTGATTTTTTCCCTATAAGAACTACTCCCAAAAATTCAAAATAAAATAGTTTTGTGTTGCTTGTGATTTATTTGTATTTGTCTGTGCATGTTTATTTTTACTTTAATTAAGAAAAAATACAAAATATGTGTTGCATGTGCATTAGGATTTAATTTTACAATTAGGAATTAATTAAACAATATTTGGATTTGCGAGAATGAAAATCACAAAAATATGTACTTGGCATATTTTAGCATTTAATCTCCAATTGTGTGATTTAATTTTAGTTGGTATTTAATTGTGTGTGATAACTGTTATTATAAATTAATCAGTATTTTTAATTTGGTTTATAATTTAATTTATAATTTTAGTTTTATTAATTAGGAAATAAAAGAAAAAGAAGGAAAAGGAACAAAATGGAAACCGGACTGGGCCAAATTGGCCACAACCCAATTCTTACCCAAAAATCAGCCCAATACTCGCCCCAATCCAGTCCACCCCCAGCATCGAAGAAACGACATTGTTTCAAGCCTGTCGATCTAGGCCGTTCATTTCATTTAATCCAACAGCCGCAAATCGACCCCATGCCCCGACCCATTCCCATCCAAAGACCGATCCGGTCTCGAGGTAAACGAAATGACACCGTCTCTTTAAGTGAGTTTATCCAAGCCATCGATCTTAATTGATCTAATGGCTAGGATCAAATCACTTCCCCACATATATAAGCCCAAACCATACCCCGCCCCCCAAGCCAAACCCCCATCACCTCTTCGTCTCTAAGCCTTAGAGACCAAACGAACCCTCTGCCCATTACCACCGTGCTCCGCCCATCGGAAATCGCCTCACGGCAGTTCCGGTGGTCCAAACGACCCCATCTTTACACCACTGATTCCCCTCGACCTCCCCATTACGAATCCCTAACCCTTATCCCTCGAATCCTGATCAGGGCCTTCGAATCTTCAATCAAAGATCGAATAAAAAACCCTAACTAATCCAATCAATTCCAGGCTAACACCCAACGTCCACCTGACTTCCCTCCTCCCTAAACCACCCCTGGTTCCCCTCGAATTAAACCGGAGTTTGTCGAATCTCAATTCGAATGAACGAACGC